GAACGGCATTAGCTGAGCCCCCGGTGCGTGGCCTGCGCTCTCATGACTATTGACCAGCGGCGTCTGGCCCTCAGGACCGCATGCAAGGTAGGCCCTACTCTGTTCCTCCCCAGAGAGGTCAGGGACCCCGGTCCCGCTTCCGGCCCACTCCGAGACTCACGGGGTCCTGGTGCTGCTGTGGGACAGGCTGGCAGGCCGTGAGGCGGACACAACGTGGGCTCTGAAGTGCAGGGAGGAGGCCAGGGAAGGGCCGGTCAGGGTCGGGCTTGGAGTGATTCTGGCCACCTGTCAATCACTGACCGTGTTCTGGGCAGGTGACGTGCACGGTCCTATTGATTCCTCATTACAACCTCATTAGCCCCGCCCACAGACGAGGCGTGTGGGGGACCAGAGAGGTGAAGTGACTTGCCCAAGGTCACACAGGCGGAAAGCAGACAGAGGCTGGGAGTTGAAGCCACTGGATGGGGAGCGGGGAGATAGGGGCTCTCGGGATTCACAAAGAGAGGAGAGTCAGGCCTCCCAGGGCCCACGGAGCAGGACGGAGGCCTGCAGGGGTGCAGGGGGTCATGGGCAGGAGCAGACATCCTGCCACGATCTCCCCCTCCCCCCCGGCTCGATCCATCCTCAGCCCCTTTCCCTCTGAGGGGCACACAGTGCCCGGGCGCTCTCCCTCCCTGCACAGCCCCGTTGAGAGCAGAGAGGACACCACCACACCGGTGAGCGGCCTCCTTCAGGCTGGATGGGGCCGGCTCTGAGCTCCTCGGGGGCTGGGAACGGACGGTGTGCATTCCTCCCCCCTCCCCCCTCTCATCCTTTCGGGGCACTGAGTGCGTCCCTCTGCCCTGCCGCCCCCCCGGGCCTGCTCCCCCTGGTAGAACCAGTCTCCCGCTGCAGACGATGCTGGACACCTCCTTTCATTCCATCCTCCCTGCTCCCCCAGGGAGCGGCTACACCCCTCCCCTTTGTGCAGACAGAGAGGAGCATGGGCTGAACCAGGACTGGAAGCCAGGTTTTCTGACATATTCATCATCTTCTTCTTCTTCATCGCCATATCCCATGCCTTTCCCTTCAACGCCTGTGGCCACCCCAGCCGAGGTGTCGATGACGAGCGCTGATCGCGTTTGCCACCGCAGCGGCCCCGTGGGGTAGATACCGTGATCAGCATCCCCATTTCGCAGATGGAGAAACCGAGGCCCAAAGAGGACACGCTCGGAGGTGACAGAGCTGAGAGCAGGAACCAGGCCTCGCCGCCCCAAACCCAAGTGCCCAGCCAGCACGTTATTCCATAAAGTGGAAAGCAGTCCAGCGTGCGGACGGTGCAGCCCGGGCTCAGGGGAGGCAGGGGGCAGTGCAGCACAGCCAGTGAGGGCTTTGGAGAGCAGAGGGGCCGGGGCTGGGCTGGGGCGAGGACTGGGGGCTGGGGCCGGACTGAGCCAGGTGCCTGGAGCCAGCCAGACCTGAACGGGTACCCCAGCTCTGCCACTTCTACCGTGTGACCCCCTGTCCCCATCCCTCCCCCGACCCCAGCCCGTGATTCCTCAGCTGGGAGGGTCATCCTCGCCCCGCTGTGCAGGGCGGTGCCTGGCCAATGCCTGTCCGGTAAACGGAGGGCTGCTGAGGCTCCGTGAGCTGGACCGGCCGCCAGAGGTCAGCTCCCTAAGAGCAGCCAGACGATGGTGCAGTGGGTCCCACGGCCGAGCTGTGTGGCCTCAGGGGAGTCATCTCCCCTCCCTGTCACCCCCCTGGCCACCAGGAGAGGCAGGAAGGCCCTGCAGGCAGCGGAGTGTCCTCGGGTGGCTCCTGCCCTTTCCCTCCTGCCTCTGGGCGGGAGTGTGGCCCCTCAGGCCCGCCCCTGCTTCTGCCTGGGGTTGGGGCCACCGAGACACCGCCCCGCGCCTCCCAGCGTGGTGAGCGTGCGCACGGGAGACGTGCCCGGGTGCTGGGACCCCCGGGGGCTGCTGCCGCCCTGTCAGCTCTCCTTCCGGAAAGTGGTGTGGACAAGGGACCCCACCCCAGCTTTGCCACACAGTCAGAGGGAAAATGTAGGAGATGACAGAGCAGGGCCTTCCTACTTCCTCGGACCCCTGGCCGGCAGGTCTCCACGCCCCCTCCCCCAGCTCCTCAGGAAGGACCGGACAGCTCACAGCCCTGCTGGTCACCTGCACCCTCTCGCTGTGCCGTATCCCTGCTCTCTGCCTCAGTTTCCCTAGTTGTCCAGGGAAGTCTGGACTAGGGGGCCTCAGATTTTAGATGTCCGCAATGTAGTAAAATTTTTAAAAAATATATTTTTATTGATTTCAGAAAAGAAAGGAGAGGGAGAGAGAGAATCATCAGTGATGAGAGAGAATCATTGATCAGCTGCCTCCTGGGAACTGAGCCTGCATCCAGGCATGCGCCCTGACCAGGAATCAAACCGTGACCCCCTGGTTCACGAGTCGACACTCACCCACTGAGCCACACCGGCCAGGACACAGCACATTTTTTTTAATCGGTAACTGGCACAGCACGGCCAGCCCTTCACGTTGCCGAGGAAGGACGTGAAGTTTGTGAAACGCAGCCGGCGCGTCCCATCCCCGTTCCTTCTCCCAAAGAAACTCCGTTCCCAGGAAGGGAGTCCAGGCCGCGCTCAGACCACAGGAAGTGCGGGGGGAGGGGGGCAGCCTCCCCAGGTCAGGGACAGCCCCTCGGCCAGGCCCTCGCCCGCTCTGGGCCTCGGTGACCTCCGTGCAAGGCTGGGTCACCACCCGTCCCCTCTGCCCTCTCCTCCCTGCCCCGGCCTCACCCCTGTGCCCTCTTCCCAGCAGCACCTGGGCCTCTGCCAGGGGCTTCAGAGCCGGAGTGAGGACCAGGCTCAGGGCGGCCCCGGCCTCATGCAGGGCTTCCTAGCTCGTCTGTCCCTGCTCCGGGCTCACGGACACCAGGGCCTGGACATCAGCGAGCCTCAGTTCCCTCCGTGGTGCTGACGGAGGCAGGGACGGCGGAGGGACCGAGCAGGGACAGAGACGCTCGGTGAAGGAAGGCCTCCCTAGAAACTGCTTCCAGCCAGAAGGCACCCGGCACCCTGGCTGTTGAGCCTCTGGTTGGGGGGGTGGGGGGTGGCGGAGAGAGCCTGGGGGCCCGGGAAAAGGTGTGACCCCTGAAGGGCCGGCATCACAGGGCACCATCTCCAGCTCGGTCTTCAGGCGGACGGGTCTCACTCATCCCGTTTCCCAGATGAGGAAACTGAGGCTCGGGGCAGGCCCGTCGTTTCAGTTGCAGGGTGGCCCCCGGGGCGAGGAGCCCAGCGGGGCCGCGGGGGAGGGGCGGGCGCTCCGGGCTGAGAGGGCGTCTCCGGGGAGAGGCAGGCTCCGGAGCCGCTGATCTCTAAATTACAGCGTTGGCGCGCACCGGTTGCTGCGGCAACCGAGTTGTCCTGAGCGGGGAAGTGTATAAACATTGCCACAGATGCACAATTAGATCAGGAGGAAGAATAGCACAGAAAATAGAAACTTTCAGCCTTATGTAATTCCGGGCCAAAACGCTACCGGGAGCCGAGGCGCGGGCCGGCCCTGCCAGCCGCCGGGGCCCGGGCAGCACCGGGGCTCCGCCAGGGGCCCGTGGAGGAGAGGGATAGGGAGTGTCTGCCCCCCCCCCCCACGGGCCCAGCTGGCGCCCCTGCCACCCCGCGGGGGGCGGGGCTGCTCTGCCCAAACAGCTGGGCACCTGACAGCCCGTCTGCCTCCGCCCGCTCCCCCTGCCCCCGGGAGGCGGGAGGGCGCCCCACGGAGAGCCATCACCTACCGGCTCCTCGGGCTACAGACGCAGGAAGTGAGGCTGATCGAGGTGCCCCAAGGAGACACAGGTCGGTGGGCCTGGGACTTTCCCCCGTCTGAGGCTCCACAGGCTGGACGCACCGGGGCTGACACGTGGGGCAGAGAGGCAGAGCCCCCTGGGCGTGGGCCCGCTGTGCGGCCGGGGGCAGGTCACAGCCCTGCTCAGAGCCCCTCTTCCTGTGACGTGCAGAGTCCCCCCTCCCTGTCTGGCCCGCCATGGGGTCCCCCCCCCACTGCTCCCAGCGAGTCTGGGACAGGACGGGAGCTGAGCGGGGCTTCCTGCGTGATGGGCGTGTCCTGTCAGCCGTCCAGCGTGGCAGCCGGCAGCCACGGGCACTTGGCGGTGACATGTGGCTAGTGTAACTGAGGAACCGAGTTAAGTTTTAATCTTAGCGAATGTCAGGAGCCACAGGTGGCAGTGGCTGTCGTGTTGACAGCACAGGGGAGCAGCCTGCCCGGAAAGACCCAAAGGGCAGAGGGTGATGCCGGGGGGTGAGCGGAGGCCGGAGCCTCACAGCTCCCTCTGCTCAGGGCGCTGGTGGCAGGCTGGGCACCCGGAAGCCTGGGCTTGGAGCGGTGGGCAGAGGAGGGCTGGAGGGGCAGCGGGAGGGCTGGGCCTGGGCCCTGGATCCTGGTGGCCCCAGCTCCTGGCCTGGCAGAGACCCCAGTGCTGGAGCTGGGCTGGCTGTGGAGGCGCTGGCTCCGGTCCCGACACCCCTCCCTGTTTGTTTATTTTTAAAAATATATATATTTTTATTGATTTCAGAGAGGAAGGGAGAGAGAGAGAGAGAGAAACATCCATGATGAGAGAGAATCACCGATCGGCTGCCTCCTGCACGCCCCACTCTGGGGATCGAGCCCACAGCCCAGGCATGTGCCCTTGACCGGAATCGAACCTAGGATCCCTGATTCCGCAGGCTGATGCTCTATCCACTGAACCACACCGGCCAGGGCCCGACACCCTCCCTGCGGTCAGAGCCACCTTCCCTGTCACATGCTGCTGGCCCGGGCGGAGGAGGCCTCGGGGGCCAGGCCAGGCGCTTCCCCTTCTGTCCTTCCCCCAGAGCGGGGGGTCCCGGGCCCTCGGAGAGGACACCCCGCCGGCTCCCAGCATCTCACGTGTCTGTCTCCCCCCCCCCCCCCCAGGCCCCGTGTCTCCCCGCTGACCCCGCCCGCCCGCCTCGGGACATGCTGGGGCACAGCCGCAACGGGCAGGCCCACGTGCCCCGGCGGAAGCGCCGTAACCGCTTCGTCAAGAAGAACGGCCAGTGCAACGTGTACTTCGCCAACCTGAGCAACAAGTCGCAGCGCTACATGGCGGACATCTTCACCACCTGCGTGGACACGCGCTGGCGCTACATGCTCATGATCTTCTCGGCGGCCTTCCTGGTGTCCTGGCTCTTCTTCGGCCTCCTGTTCTGGTGCATCGCCTTCTTCCACGGGGACCTGGAGGCGGGCCCGGCGGCGGGGGCCCCGGCGGGCGGCGGCGGCGGCGGCGGGGCGGCCCCCGCGGCCCCCAAGCCCTGCATCATGCACGTCAACGGCTTCCTGGGCGCCTTCCTGTTCTCGGTGGAGACGCAGACCACCATCGGCTACGGCTTCCGCTGCGTGACGGAGGAGTGCCCGCTGGCCGTCATCGCCGTGGTGGTGCAGTCCATTGTGGGCTGCGTCATCGACTCCTTCATGATCGGCACCATCATGGCCAAGATGGCCCGGCCCAAGAAGCGGGCGCAGACGCTGCTGTTCAGCCACCACGCGGTGATCTCGGTGCGCGACGGCAAGCTCTGCCTCATGTGGCGTGTGGGCAACCTGCGCAAGAGCCACATCGTGGAGGCCCACGTGCGGGCCCAGCTCATTAAGCCCTACATGACGCCCGAGGGCGAGTACCTGCCGCTGGACCAGCGGGACCTCAACGTGGGCTACGACGTCGGCCTGGACCGCATCTTCCTGGTGTCGCCCATCATCATCGTGCACGAGATCGACGAGGACAGCCCGCTGTACGGCATGGGCAAGGAGGAGCTGGAGGCCGAGGACTTCGAGATCGTGGTCATCCTGGAGGGCATGGTGGAGGCCACGGCCATGACCACGCAGGCCCGCAGCTCCTACCTGGCCAGCGAGATCCTGTGGGGCCACCGCTTCGAGCCCGTGGTCTTCGAGGAGAAGAGCCACTACAAGGTGGACTACTCGCGCTTCCACAAGACCTACGAGGTGCCCGGCACGCCCTGCTGCTCCGCCCGGGAGCTGCAGGAGAGCAAGATCACCGTGCTGCCCGCCCCGCCGCCCCCGCCCAGCGCCTTCTGCTACGAGAACGAGCTGGCGCTGCTGAGCCCCGAGGAGGAGGAGCTGGAGGAGGAGGCGGCGGCGGCGGCCGCGGCCGCGGTGGCCGCGGGGCTGGGCCTGGAGGCCGGCTCCAAGGAGGAGGCGGGCATCATCCGGATGCTGGAGTTCGGCAGCCACCTGGACCTGGAGCGCATGCAGGCCACCCTGCCGCTGGACAGCATGGCCTACCGCCGGGAGTCGGCCATCTGACCCCAGGGCCGGCCGCCCGCCCGCCCGCCTCCCCGGGCGCCTCGGCGGGGGGTGCGGTGCCCGGACTCCCCTCCGCTCTCAGGACGGCGCCCACCTGGCTCCCGGGACCCTCTGGAGGGAGGCGGGGCTTCAGAGCTGGGGACCCCTTCCCGCTGACTCAGTGCCCACACCGGGAAGGGCACCGGACGCCCTCTGCCCAGCGCCTGCCCGCTGGCGGTTCTGGGGCCCAGACTCACCATCCTTCCCCCACCGACCCTCAAGGACGTGCCCTTTGCTCTCAGAGCCTGGGGGCGCGGCTGGACTGTGGAGGGCGGCGTCAGAGGGCCGGGGGGCGGGGGCGTGGGGGGGAGGGCGGGTGGGCGCGTGTCTTTGCATGACTGTGACCTGTTGCTCATGACGTTCTTTTGTAAATCCCTGTACACGGAGGCGACGGAGGCGCGGATCCACCGTCTGTCCCGCGGGACACGGAGCGCCGTCCTCCGTGCGCCCCCGCCCGGGCGGCCCTGCCCTGCCCTCCTGGCTGCCCCCGGAGCCCTCAGAGCGGCCTCCTCGCCCCGATGGTGCTGGTCTGAGTGTGGAGGTGGAGCCCCCGGGGGGCGCAGGGCCACCCTCCCTGAGTGTCTCCGGCCCGGACCCAGCCCCGACCGACCATGGATTTGTAACTCTATATTTTTAATAAAGTATATGGCCCACTGGGGCAGGCTGACTGAAGATGGAGGGCTGGGAGGAAGAGAGAGGCCAACATAATGAGAGTGTATCTGCGCGTGGTATGGACGCGTGTATGATATGTATATGTGCGGCGTGCGCGCTATGTATGTGTGTATTGTATGTGAGTGCATTGTATGTAGCATGCCTGTGCATTGTGTATGTGGTATGGGTGTGTGTGGTACATGGAAGTGTATGTGCTATGCAAGTATGTGTATTGCATGCGACATGTCTGTGCACTGTGTGTGTATATGGGTGTGTGTGGTATGTGTGTGGTATGCATGCGTATATTGCATGTAGCATGCCTGTGCATTGTGTGTGAGGTGTGGGTGGGCATGGTGCCTGTGTGATATGGATGTGTGTTATGCATGCATGTGTATTGTGTGTAGCATGCCTGTGCATTGTGTGTGAGGTGTGGGTGGGTGTGGTGCCTGTGTGGATATAGATGTGTGTTATGCATGCACGTGTATTGCGTGTAACATGCCTGTGCATTGTGTATGTGGTGTGGGTGGGTGGTACATGGATGTGTATGTGCTATGCATGTATGTGTATTGCATTGACATGTCTGTGCATTGTGTGGGTATATGGGTGTGTGTGGTATGTGTGTGGTATGCATGCGTATATTGCATGTAGCCTGCCTGTGCATTGTGTATGTGGTGTGGGTGGGTGGTACATGGATGTGTATGTGCTATGCATGTATGTGTATTGCATGCGACATGTCTGTGCACTGTGTGTGTATATGGGTGTGTGTGGTATGTGTGTGGTATGCATGCACACATATTGCATGTAGCATGCCTGTGCGTTGTGTGTGAGGTGTGGGGGTGTGTGGTATATGGGTGTGTATGTGCTATGCATGTATGTGTATTGCATGTGACATGTCTGTGCATTGTGTGGGTATATGGGTGTGTGTGGTATGTGTGTGGTATGCATGCGTATATTGCATGTAGCATGCCTGTGCATTGTGTGTGAGGTGTGGGTGGGCATGGTGCCTGTGTGATATGGATGTGTGTTATGCATGCATGTGTATTGTGTGTAGCATGCCTGTGCATTGTGTGTGAGGTGTGGGTGGGTGTGGTGCCTGTGTGTATATAGATGTGTGTTATGCATGCACGTGTACTGTGTGTAGCATGCCTGTGCATTGTGTGTGAGGTGTGGGTGGGCGTGGTGCCTGTGTGGATATGGATGTGTGTGGACATTTGTGCCCTTTGTGGACACTGGCCTTGCAGGGACCTTTATCACCTGCCATTCTCCTTCCTGGGAGCCCGTGCGAAGGGTCTGAGTGGCCTCAGAGGCTCCAGGGGTTCGAGTCAGAGCTTTGCTGTCCCTGCTGTGGCGTCAGCAGGTGGTCCATCGGTTCGGCCTCAGTTCACATCGGTGGGGTGGGGTGACCATCTCTCCCTCCCAGGAGATGGCGGACAGGAGGCTCCGTGGAAGTCAACCAGCCCTCTATAGCCCGGGGACGTGGGGAGGGCCCTGATGGACGCCCTCACACCAGGCACATCACACCGCGGGGCTGGTCAGGTGGCCGCAGACACCGCGGTGGGAAGGGCCTGGGAGCCGCTGGGACTCCCGGTGAGAGCCAGGCCTGCCTCTGCCTTGGGATCGTGGTAAGTCCCTCCCTCCTCTGGCTCAGTCAGCTTGTGCTGAGTAACAAACATTCCCCTTAGCAACAGGGTTTCTTCTTAAGCGTTTTTGGGGGCTGGGGCTGCTTGTCCGGCTTCCTCTGGCTCACTCCAGCAGCAACACCAGCTGGGACGCCAGCTCGGCCGTGAGGACCAAGATGGCCTCACCATGTCAGGGACGGGCTGGCGGTCAGCCAGGGGCCGTGTTCCCCGCAGGGGCCGCCTCTCCGGCACCAGACCCTCCTGGGTCTCAGGACAGCAACTCAGAGGGTGGGGAGGAGATCTGGGACCTGGACTTGCATACATCGCCTCGGCTGTGCTCTGTGGCCGCCCCAGGCCTCGAGGCCAGCCCCGGTCCAAAGGGAGGTCCCGTGGCAGAGGGCACGGCACCGCCATGGAGCGTGGCCGCAGCCCGGGGCATCACCAAGCCTCTGAGTCGGAGGGTTACCGCCGGCTCTAACTCTGCCCTGCAGGCCCACTGCGCGCCCGGCGCTGGGTGTGTGAGGCAGCAGAGGGCACCCTCTTCCTCCTCCGGAATCTTCTACGCAAAGGTGCCCGCGACCTTCGGAAACGGAGCCAGCGGGCGAGCTCCCCGCCGGCGCGCCGTGAGCTGCCACGTGCACCAGCGCCGGCGGCGGGGCTGCGTCCGGTAAACCCTGGCACCCGTGTGCTCAGCAGGTCCATCAGGAGCCTGAGGCGCCTCTGCAGACAGGCCACCGGGCTCCAAGGCCCCCAACACGCAGCTCGTCACCTCGTCCTTCTTTGCTCACTCGTTCGCGCCCTTTAGTTCCCGGGATTCCTGCCTAAGCCCAGAGGGAGGGGGGACGGGGACTGCCCTCAGCCCCCCTCCCTCCACCCCCTCGGGCAGGGGCTCAGGGAGCAGGGGGGCTCCTCCCCCAGGGCTTCCCGAGGGCCCCTCCGAGGGCTGCAGGGGCCGCTCGGCAAGACAGAGCCCAGCTCGCAGCTCCCTGAGGGCTGGTGCCTTCTGCCGGGGCCAGCACCCGTGTCTCCCAGGGGCCCTGGCTGTCGCCAGCGCCTCTTCAGAGAGGGCTCCCCAGCCTGCAGGGGTCTCTCACTGGCGCTTTGGCGCGGGGGGCGGGCGGTGTGGGGCTCAGGCACGCAGAGCCTTCACCCGGGACCATCTCAGAGGCTGCCCAGGGGACCCCTGAGGGAAGGGGCAAGAGGTGCCCTCGGGGCCCCTAAGGGGCCTCCCATCCGGAGGGAGTGGGGCGCCTCAGGGTCCCTCCCAAACCCTCTCCTGGTCCCCAGGGGCCACCGGCTCAGACACCGCAGCCTGCGCCTCCGGCTGGAGCCTGTCTGTTAGCGTGAGTGACGGGGGCACAGGAGGCGAGTCTGACAAGCGCCCACAGCAAGGACTTCCTGGGTGCCGGGCGGAAGTGCCATGCGGGCTCTGGGTGGGCACGGGGAGGGCACGGGGAGGGCACGGGGAGGGCTCTGGGTGGGCACGGGGAGGGCACGGGGAGGGCACGGGGAGGGCACGGGGAGGGCTGGGTGGGCACGGGGTGGGCACGGGGAGGGCTCTGGGTGGGCACGGGGAGGGCTGGGTGGGCACGGGGAGGGCACGGGGAGGGCTCTGGGTGGGCACGGGGAGGGCTGGGTGGGCACAGGGAGGGCTCTGGGTGGGCACTGGGAGGGCTCTGGGTGGGCACGGGGAGGGCACGGGGAGGGCTGGGTGGGCACGGGGAGGGCTCTGGGTGGGCACGGGGAGGGCTGGGTGGGCATGGGGAGGGCTCTGGGTGGGCACGGGTAGGGCAGGGGGAGGGCTCTGGGTGGGCACAGGGAGGGCACGGGGAGGGCTGGGTGGGCACGGGGAGGGCTCTGGGTGGGCACGGGGAGGGCTGGGTGGGCACGGGGAGGGCTCTGGGTGGGCACGGGTAGGGCAGGGGGAGGGCTCTGGGTGGGCACAGGGAGGGCACGGGGAGGGCTGGGTGGGCACGGGGAGGGCTGGGTGGGCACGGGGAGGGGCCGCGGGGTGCGGGGTTCGGAGAGGCAAGCGCCGCTGCAGGGAGGCTGGGCTCAGCTGCAAACCCGCTGGGCTCTGCTGACTCACCTCCTGCTCCCACCTGCTCCCCTCACAGCCTCCCACCTCCGCCCCACCCTGCGCGGCTCCCGCGCTCCAGAGGGGGATGGCGGACCGGGGCGAGAACCTCAGCCGCCACGGGCTGGGAGTGATGGACACTGGCTGGCTGAAGGGCCCTCCCCCCTCCCCCGGGTCCCCGCCCTGGCCTCTCCCCCAGGCCCAGGGCAGGGGCGGGAGGCGGGAGGCGGGAGGCGGGAGAGAGGGAAGAGGGTACAAGTTCAAGGGGACCGCCAAGAGTTTCAACAAGGTCACCCAATAGGTTCAATAAAAATTAACTTTTAAAAAGAATTTCAAGACAGGCCACGGAGCATTAGGCCAAGCCCGGACCCTCCCGGAAGCCGGCCTCCGACTAGCTGTCAGCCATTCTGCCCCTCGTGTCTCACTCCTCCTCTATCTCCGGTACCGATCGCCAGGGCCGTGGGTAACATGTTTGTGCGGTGTTTTGTTTTTTGTCAGTTTTAAAAATATAAATATAGATATTGATTTCAGAGAGGGAGTTGGAGATAGAAACATCAATGATCGGCTGCCTCCTGAACACCCCCCACTGGGGATGTGCCTGCATCCAAGGTACA